AGATTTCCTATCATCAGCAAAATAAATAAAAGCAATATTTTCTCTCTGTATAGTTTACTGTAGACAGCATGTCTCTAAACATAAACGTAAGGGTTAAATTCTTTGCAAAATCGGTAAAACCACATAACCGTCAGTCAGAATATTGAGGATAACCAGTACCTCTCTATAGCCGAGGTTTAGCCGAAGAGCCTGAATAAAAAAATGAACGTATATTTGCCTTTCATGTGCAGGCGAAACTTGCTAGAACATACCCCAGGTGGTCCCTGAATGCCCGGGTGGCCAGGTTGACCATCTCTGCCAGGGATGCCACGCTCTCCTTCCGGACCGGCCGCTCCGGCCGGGCCTGGTGAACCGTCCATCCCAGCATCACCCTATGAAAGCAAACAGTAAGGGTTCGCGGTTAACGTCTACTGTACGGGCCAGGTATATGTTAAAAACGCGATTGACATAAAGCACCAGTTTACTTACAGGTTCGCCCTCCAAACCACGTTCACCTTGATCGCCTTCTGTTCCCTAGATTAGCACAAGGATAGAAAGGGGATACAATTTTTAATTAATGAGCTGTCATAAGTGTCAACAGAAACTAAATGTTTTCAAACTTCAAAATTTCAGCATATCAGGTAATTAATTAGCCCACCTCTATTCCCTCGGAGCCGCGTTCGCCCTTTGGTCCAGGAAGTCCTGTTTCACCTTGGTGTCCAGGCAGTCCTGTATCTCCGACTGGCCCTGCATACCCTTTTTCTCCTTCTTCTCCCTTCCCAAAGAACAGAAAAGCAAGGTGACATCAAATATTAAGATAAATTTTCCAAAGCTAAACGAGGTAAAACACAGAACGTAGTAATATGACCATCTCACCTGTTCACCCGGACTTCCGGCGCGACCAACACCAAGAACGGGTGGCAGGGTCCAGGGGTCGCAAGGAATGCCGTCTGGGCCGCGTGCACCGGGGTAGCCCTTTTCGGCGCATCTTTTGTTTGCGTATATATAAGTTCCTTCGGGACCCTCCTCACCTGGTGGACCTTGGGCACCTTTTTCGCCCTGTACGTGGAATGCAGAGGACGTAGGTATGATTTTTATGGAGATTTAATCAAATCAAATAATTGTTGACACTTAAAGAAGTGGAAAATCTATGCAATAGTAATTTGTTATGATATGTTGCCCCTTCGCTGGCTGAGTAATACCACATATGGCTTTTTGGGAACGCAGAAAGAGTGTTAAAATCTTGAAGTTGCTTTGCTGTTTTAATCGACTTAGCAGGCGTGTCAGATATTCCCTGTCTTTTGTTAATTCCCACAGGAATTAATGCGCTAACGGGAAGTAAATCCTTCGGCAGGAACCTCTTCCAGCTCAGTCCTGCAGTTTATATGAATATTAGAACTGAAATCCATCAGCCGCTGCCAAATAGCCAGTAGTGTACAACTCCGTACGTATGTATATACAGTATGGCGAGTGCTGCAAGAAACATTCCGCAGTTTGAAAAAGACCGATAATCACTCGCAAAGCAACATTGAGTAGAGTTGCAATACTGTGTATCATGCAGTCCAATTTCAACTATTTTCAGTCACGCTAGGGTGCCGACTCTGTGATAAGCTCCTTTCTGACCGTTGCGAAGAAGTTGATTTTGTAAAAAAATGGCAACTTAAATAGTATGCATTTTTGTCATATTTTGACTGCCTTTATAGATCCAAATATGTTTTATGGAAAGCCTGCACGAAAAAACCCGCTCTTTTACTTATTTGATAGCAAGTAATGCCTTCTTTAAATTTATCCTTAAACAAAGAGTTTCCTTCGGTTTTAAAAGAATTCCTAGTTTTGAGTTTTTTATAACTGTGCGGCGTTTTTTTTCTAATACATCGTATCCGTCAGTTTATTATTGCTGCCCCTGATATATACAGCAAGATTCATTTCTATTGCGAAATTCTGTGAGAGCTATGCAACCACTTCTTCAAACCGTAGGTAAGAACGTAATTTTCCTTAAACAGGATGAACACAGAATTGAGTTTTTAAAACTTCAATTCAGTTCTAGCAGTCGGTAGGTTTCAGAATCATTCGGCAATTTAGAAACTTTTTTAAAACGGAAGGAAATCCCTGCTTAGACAGAAAAATAGCTTGTAGACAAACTCATAGTAAGAAAAGTCTATTCAAGTCTTCGCATACTTACCTGTTCTCCCTCCAGGCCGCGGGGACCTTCTGGGCCCTCTGAGCCCTGATCTCCTCGTGGACCCTGAAGAAAGACAAAAGGGAGTTAAGGATGAACGGTCTGTTCGCCATAACGCTTCAAGTTTTGCGAGCAGCAGAGGGGATCAAGACAAACTGCAAATGTCCGGGCCTTGTTTCACTTCATTTCTTAAGACAAGGGTCTACTTAAAACACATAAGAATCATCAAGATTGAATACGGAGCGGCTGAGTTACATTGAAGGGCCGATTGATTGAGGCGGCATCGTCACTGGATAAAATCTCTTTCTGGTGTTTACGTTCCTGATAAA